TGAAATGTCTTGAGGCTATAGAAGAACTTCATGAAGTTGGGTAAATTTTGTTGCTTATGCACTGGAAAAGGTGGTTGTTTTCTTTGGCACTGGAAAAAACATTTTATAGATGCTTTGACTACGAGCGAAAAAACCTCTTTCAGATATTTGCATCGTGATATTAAGCCAGGTAATTTTGCGATTGGTCGCAGGGATTTGCGACACATCTATTTACTGGACTTCGGGATGTGCCGCAAATATCTCAACAAACGAGCATCCATACGCAATCCACGACGAGCCGCTGGTTTCAGAGGCACTATTAGGTAAAGCACTGGAATTTAACATAGCTCTTTCAGTGGCTTGTACATTTAAATTAGCATCATACATCACCAAGTCTGACATTCCGATGAGCCAGAAGTATAACCGCGGAAGAACGGAAGAGGAGAGGGAGGGATGGTGTATCGTCGTTTTTTTCGATTATAGCGACGTACTTCAAAAGGCTAAAATCTATTCTTTGTTTCTGAAAACCATTCAAAAGCGATATCAGGAATGAAGAAAAAGAAAAAGCCACAACTCTCACAGCAGGTGGCTTGCAATCGAGCCTCCGAATGCTTCCGTCTTTCATAAAGAATGAATCAGAGATAATTATAACATCCGAAACAATCAATCAAGCTAATAAAAACTTGTGATTATAGACAGCTACGAAATCCGAAAAAATTAATCAAACAATTAAAGAACTGATAGTTATATATCACATTTCTCAATTATTTAGCAATTAATTATATTAACAGTTAGTTACAGTGCTGGAATTAGCAAATAAAATTTCCAAAAATAAAAAAAAAAACAAAAACAAAAAGGATGGATATATTTGTAAACTGAGTTTCCCCCGATTTCTTTTTAAGTGATTCTTTTTGTCTTATTAGTTTCTAACAGACAAGTCTTAAATCTAAGCAAGGGGTAAATTTTGAAAGCCAAGTGTGTTTAAAATGTCTTGCAGGTACGCATCGATAAGTAGTCATATATCGCGAGAACAATGCAGAAAGGACGATTTGGAAAGCTGGATGTATCAGCAGGTTGGCTCGTTTTCATATCCTAATAGTTTGGATGAGGGATTCTAAATTATCATATTACAACTTCTGAAACTTCTGCTGACCCTGCTGAAACTACA